CCGCAATATATTCTCCGTACAGATTGTTTCGTTGATATTTATGGCATTTGTGTCATCCATTTATTGCATTCTCGAAGACAATGAACTTGATATGATGGAATGTGATAAATTTTCATTGTCAATTGAGAAAGCTTTACTGTAATTGGCTACCACTAGAACAGATCATCACATAAGCTTTACTGTGATTGGCTACCACTAGAACAGATCATCACATAAGCTTTACTGTGATTGGCTACCACTAGAACAGATCATCACATTTATTTTACTTTTACAATATCGTTTTTTTTTTTTTATGAATTCACAAAAAATAAATATTAAATGTAAAAAAAAGTATGTTCACCAAGCTACATTTTGCATAAAATTTATTTAAAAAACTTCAATTGGTAATATATATTGAATAACTTATAGTTACGCTTATAAGTTATAAGTTACAAAATTCTAGTTGAGGAATTACAATAAAATAAAAAAAATTATGGGAAAATTTTGAAACAAATTGTGATAAAATTGAGGCACCATTAAGTTGAATATCCTAAGGATGTTAAATAATTTTGAAGTTTTACAAAAATATTTGGAATTTATTCTACTATAAAATATTAGCAATAATACAAAAAAAAAGTTCCATTTGAATGTCTATATTGCACAATTAATACACAGGCTGTAAAACTTTTAAAAACATTATAATATTTTTGATAATGATGAGGATGGTAGAGAACATCATTTTCTATAAATAAAAATAACTGTCCTTTTTGAAATGCGTTTTGTGTAAAACATTTCCGTGTCCACTTTAAAATAGTTCAAGACGTAGAAACTATATTGATCATACTCAAGTGTTTTTGAACTATAGGTCTTACTATTGCTTGAAAACATTTTCTATCTTATTGCTCACAGATTCATGGAGTTATATTTGTTATATAAGGAGAAAAATAAAATTTTTCTGAGATGTAAAACAGAGTTTCTCAAATTATACATCCATACAAGCCTATATTCAAACTAGCAGAAACTTTAACCCTTATCAGGTGCACATTGCAAAAGTCATCGAAGATAACCGAATGGAACTGCTGGGTTGACTGGGCCTGTCGTCGTCTGTCTGTCATACGTCATGTGTAGTACATTGTCCGTCAACTTTTTTCAAGGGACATCTTCTCAAAAATTGTATGCTATTTATAACACAGCTACCTGGGGTGATCCTCTGTCAGATTTGATCATTTTATGGACATCACATCCAAATCTCTATTTTTAGGGAATATTTTTTATCATTTTTGGTGAAAAATGATTTTTTCAACAACAACTGCCTGTCAGATTGCATAGAAATTTGGCATGAATGTTCTTGATATCGACTAGACTCTGACTTACTAATTTCATGAGACCATATACAAGTGTCTATTTTAATAAATATTTGCTTATTTTTGCATATTTTTGACTTCTTCTCCAAAGCCACCTGCCAGATTGCTTAGAGATTCACAATGTAGATACATGAATGGGTTCTCTTTCATATTTGTTCATTTGATATAAATAGATATCTCTATTTTTATAAAAGTTATTAATTTTTTGTGAATATTTATTTTTTCAATTTTCCCATATGTTATATATGGTCTATGTACAATACATGGACTGTAATAGATAGGGGTATTGTTGGGTTCTGAACTACCTCGGCTAATGTTTTCAATAATGTTCAATTTCTGGTTAAGGTCATTTCAATGTTTATATGTTTGCAGCTATTGGACAACTGTAACAGTTGTTGTTGTTGTTTTTTTGCTCACTTTTGCATATTTTTGACATCTTCCCCAAATCTTCCTGACTGGCCATATCATACTCCACAATCTCCATTTCTTCAAACTCGTAATAATACAATGACCAGTTTCTTTTCTGGTGCCAAACTTTATCAACATCATTCACTCCATCCTACATTTCCAACTCACAGTTAACAATTACAGCGGAGCTCTTTCGGCCGTAAGGTCACTTGTGTATATAAAGCATTAGAAAGCTCACAAATCATTAGGTAGTGTTGTTACCCTATTCAGAGAGGATGCTTCTGTAGCAAGATATTTTTGCAGTTACATAGTTAAAACATGTATAATATTATTGATTTATTCAGAAAATGTTAAAACTTGCTTTTTGTGATTTTCTCGGCTGATTTGTTATTATATAAATTTGTAAAAACACTACAACACACCAGATTAAAAGTAAGACAATTTATTAAAACTAGTCAACTATAAAGAAATAAAAAACATGCGTTAACATAACTACTAATGGAAAGATTACACAATAAAAATACACACTACAAATTTGGGCAAGGGGGTCACCCTTCAAAACTCCCACTGGTGATCATTGAGCAAAGGTTTTCATAAATTGCCATGCCATACAAAGGAAAAGCCAGAAAGTGGGTGTTCGTCCTTGTAATGGGGGACAGGATGAAGTCCTTTGCCCAGCGAGGGAACACGAAGAAAAAGAAGACTTGTTGTCACCCACACATCATCTTTTTAAACATCACTTCCCACCTTTTCAGGGGGGTCACTCAGTCCCACATGTCAATTTAGTTTTTGCTAGCTACTTGTGTAAGGGTATAATTAATAAATAAATAAATAAAAACAAATGAAAAAGTTGGTTTTCCAAAATTTACCTAAATTTGACTGCAGCCATGACGTTGCAGGTCGGTGTCCTTTTTACACCGATTTGACGCACATCGTGCAAGGTGTGCTGAGAGTTTGTTCGAACTTAGGTTCTGTGTATAAAAACTAGTGTAAAGAGGCGGTGGAGCACTATTGTAGCCAAATTCAATTTATGTGCTGATACAGTGCTTCCTGTGACAACACAACGTGACTGCAGTATATAGTAGACATCAATAACCTAAAATGTGATGTTGCCATAGAGGGCATACTTTAAATTTATCTCTTTCGGAATGGTGCATACCATTTCTGAATGGAAATAAATTTTAGGATACTTTTTTGGCGGGAGCATACTATCAAAAATGAAAGTTTTCACTTAACAATTATAAATTATATTGCTATTTATGCATACTAAGATTGCATGTTCCAACAAATATGCCATTTAGTTTAAAATTAACAGTAATTTCCCGTTTCATTGACAAAGGACAATTTTAAATGTCATTTTTTTCTTTATTCAGTTTATTAAAGATAACTTCTCTTAAAAATAAATGTTCAACCTTATGTTCAATTCTTCTTAAAAAAGCAACTAATCCAACTATTTTGGCATTCAATAAGTAAGTACTGTTAGCTTATGAAAGTATCAGATTTGTTCATTTTGTTTTTGTGATAAATATCTAATTTCTCAGAACAATCACTATTCATGTTAAAAGTAGCATGTTAAAATCTGTTGATGTCGTCATTAAATGTGATCCCTGAACTTGTAGTCAATGTATTTTTCACTTTTGTCTCCTTTCATACACCTTAAAACATGAAATACCCTCCTGTGTCAGCATATCACTCTACCATGACCCCATTACTAGTATATATCCTGGAGCTATGTTGCCTTATACATAAAGCTGTATGTGGAATTTTTTGGAAGTATTTGAATCCTAGTTGTTTATTTTTTGGAACACAAATCAAGAGAAATGTTGGTTTGACCTGTTCCTACATATTTTCTAAAAGTTAAAACCTCTTTAATAAGAATGGCTGGATTCTCCTGACCTCACCTCCCCATAACTATAATAGCTTCAACCAATAAGTATACAAGGAAGTAAGGTTAGGGATAGTGACATTTTGAATACAGTACTTCACTATGATCTCAAGTCCTTCTTCAAATTCAGTGCCTTCCAAGCTTGTGTCCACTAGAGTGGCTCTGTTTGAAGCCAAGTTACAACAAGATACCTACAATTATGAATGGTATGTATCAAATTGTAATATTGTTTTAGTTTGTGTCTCATTCTTGTGTCTTTCTAACATAAAGGAAATCATTAGTTCTATATATACTAGTACAGGTTAGTTTATTAATTAATTATTTGTCTTGTTAAACATTTTAATTTAATTTGATAGAAAATTTCAACCAGTGTTTTCACAATAAGGGTCGTGATTGCTGCCATGTGATATGCTAATGCCTAATAGAAACCAATTGTTTTAATAATTTACTATTTTTAGCAAATTCTAACCATTATCAGATAAATTTAGTTTAAAAATACTTCAAGTGACCATATATGGACACAAAACAATGAAAATGAAATTTTCTAACACAAGTTTTTCTTTGATAATGGTTTTAAAACTATGTAATGATAATTTGCAAATTTCACAGCATGAAAATGTAATTTCACTACTTGAATCCTGAATGAAAACATAATTTCTCTACTTGAATCCTGAATAAAAAAGGAGTGTAAGGTTCCCATGCATTGAAAATGCAGTGTCATTGTATACAGCAACACATAACAAACCTGAGTGTTTTGCTAAAAAACAAACTCTGACATAATGACCTTTTCGCAAGAAACTTAATGTAAATAAAAACAGTGCTGGTATGAATAGTGCCTGACAGCATTACTAACAATAAAAATAACTTAACACATAGTAAACTAGTTTCTATATGATTAATGGCATTGTTCTATCCAGTCTTATGTAATTAATCTATATAATTGTCTGACTTACATATGCCAAGAAGGTTCAGACACAGGTCAGTTGTAGGATATGTTTAAATTTTGCTCTTGCCAAATGACTGGTTTAAAAAAAGTGTTTTACTATGTCTTAGATATGAGCCTATTATATTCATTCAATACTATTTAGTAAGGTATATATGAATACATCAGTTTTGTTAAAATTTGTAGCAACATTACATTTTCTTACATTTTCAGTTAAATTGTCCTATTTTGCTTTTTAATTAAAAGTATAATTTTTTTTTGTCACTGATAAACGATGATACTTTTTTTCTATCAAAAATCATAAGATCAAATAGCTATTAAATAGGCTCACTCAATAATGTACACCTTTTTTTCAAATATCTTCAGATTTTGATGAAATTGCTAGTAGTTTGGAAATATTTAAAATTAAATAAAGATATAACTAATTAATTTATGTTTTTTAGTTTGTTTTTTTTTAGTTATAAGATATGGAATAACAAAGTATAACTTTGCTATATATTTAATGCTTTCTGTTCCTCTTATTTAGTATTCGTCAACATTCAGACCAGGATGAAAATGACAGTAGTGTTGTAGACCATGAATTTGATGAGAGCAGCTCAGATGACGAACAAGATTCTGGACCAGAAGATGATGAACCAATCTCTGAAGATGAAAAGAAAAAAAAATAGATGAAAAAAAGAAAATGAAAGCCTTTAATGTTGCGCAGGAACTTATGACATCTGAAAAAGTGTTTGTTGGGATACTGGAACTTATGAATCTAGTAAGTCATGCTTATTAATTAAAAGTGTTAAATGCTTTATGTGTGAGCATTAACCCATTCTTCAACACTTCATATTGTTGCTCCAGTTTTAAAATTAATTTTAACCTAGATTTTAAGATTTGATGAACAAGTGTGATTTCTTTACTTCTGTGCATGAAGCACACAATTGAAATCTTTGTAGTTTCTGATATCTCAAGAACGGCTAAGAGATTTAAATGAAACTTGTTACATAATATAAATTATATTTTTCTTAAAATGCTAACAAACAATTCATATTCTAGTAGTATTTTAGTATTGAATATAACAATACGTAACTAAAGTTAGGAAGAAAAGAACTTTAATTATTTATAAGTAGTTCCCTTTTTAGCTCCGCTGTCGACTTTGTCGAGCGGAGCTTATCATATGAGTGATTGTCGTCGTCATCGACCGTCGTCCGTGTCAATGTTTTACTTTTTTGACTTCTTCTTGAAAACTACAAGCCTGAATGCTTTGATACTTGGTGTATATGTACCTTGGGTAGACCTCTCTCAGATTTGTTCATTTCATGATCATATCTTCAATTCTCTAATTTCGGTGAATATTTTTGTAATTCTTGGTAAAAGTGATATTTTCAACTTCTTGTTAGAAACCGCAAGTTCAATTGCTTTGATATTACATATATAGGTATTACATGTGGACGTCTCTCAGATTTGTTCATTTCATGATGATATCTTTAATTCTCGAATTTTGATGAATATTTTTGAAATTTTTGGTAAAAAGTGATATTTTCGACTTCTTGTTGAAAACTGCAAGTCCAATTGCCTTGATATATTATACATATAGGTACTACATGTGGACGTCTCTCAGATTTGTTCATATTCTAATGATATCTTCTGTTCTTTAATTGAAATGTGCATTGCTAACAGCTGAGCTATCTCAGCAGAGGGGATGCTTGTTTCTATTGGTAAAAAAATGTTTAATTCAACCTTTGGCACAATGGAGGCACACTGGTTACTAGAACACCATCTCCATCTCGTTAACTGAAATTCGGCCACTGGCTCTGAAAACTCGGGTGTGTCCCAACAAAGTTAGAACATGTTGCAAAGTTAAGTAAACTGATAAATACTTATGGCATTAAATTTGTAACAATAAAACTTGTAATATAAAACTGACTGTAAACTACATAACTGTGGAAGTAGTTTGGCGATAGTATGTAGCTATGACGATAGTATGTAGCTATGGCGATAGTATGTAGTGGAA